GAGGGGATGCTGTCAAGCCACTACTGCTCGCCATCTTTTAACGTCCTTGTTTGAAGTGTGTATGATGTAAAGTTCTACGTGATTCCGACTGAAATGCTCATGATCGCAAAGACTCCGGCCTCCATGCTACATATTGCATTGTCTCTTCAATATCGTCAATCTTTCGTTCTTCGTCTTCAAAAAAATCGAAATTACCGAGAGATATCAAGTGAAGTGGTCAGAGTAGCATCAATCCTTTTTGGTTGGATAGGTAAAATAGAAAAGATTAAACGTGTGGTAGATCGCGAAGTGGAATTGTAATGCTTCATAGGGGCCACTCGGCCGCATTAGCCCGCTTTGAAAGCTGGAAGCCACCGCCTTGGCAGAATTACGCACGCTTTCGCCTCTATGCTCTGCGACAAAACATGGCATAGCTTGGTATCAAGACCACTACAACTGCCCGCCTATCTCGCTGTGTGAACATTTTCCAGAGACTATAACATTCACTAGACTTTATCATTCATTTTTAACAGTATGAAGGAGAGTTTCGCAGATCATGTTAGTCGCACAATTTGAGACTTCTAAGCTCCAATCTACTCCTATAGCTTATCGTGACCAGGAGAGCGCGCCAACTTCATTGATTCTTCACGCCTTCCAAGATGATGGCAGGAAGTAGTGACCTATCCGGTGGTACTGGTGAGAAGTTGACAAATGCAACAATAGTGGTAGCTGGTTCTGCTGCATTGCTTGCCTCTTTACTATCAATCGTGTATGTTTGAGAGCGACTTCGTTCATTCACTTTAGAAGCTAACATCTTGTTCGACAGGTCGGTTTGGTTGCAAACGTATGTTATAAAGGCTACATGATACAACATTGGATCATTTTCCTAAACTTATTTTAGGAAAAACTATCGAAAACCTCTTTTACAACGCTATGTCATTCGAATCCTACTTATGTACGTGGATGAAGTCTTCAACAATATTTACAGTTCCTATATTGACCAATACGCTTAGGGTACCGATATACTCAATCTCGTCATGGACTAGTCTAGTTTCTAGAGAGGCAGCGATGTTTATCGATCCTATTCGTGATGTGTATGAGGTAGGTTGAACATCTTTGAATAACATGGCTCGAAACTGATTATTGGCAGGCTTTCACAATTTACACTTTCTTTCAACTCCTTATCAACTTCCTCGGGGGTGAACGAGCATTGATTATTATGATGCATGGACGAGAACCGGTTCATCACCTTTGGCCACTGAACCATGTCTTCCCCAAGGTCGATATATCCGACCCTCATACATTCTTGGCCATTAAGCGCGGGATTCTACAGTATGCTTGGCTGAAGCCTCTTCTTGGACTTTCAGCTATAATCATGAAAGCTACTGGTGTATATTCTGAGGGTACCATTTCTTTAACCTCCGGTTATATGTGGAGTGGTATTATCTACAACATTAGTGTGACATTGAGTCTATATTCACTCGGAATGTTTTGGGTTATCATGTCTAAAGATTTACAACCTTTTCGACCTGTACCGAAATTTTTGTGCATCAAGCTCATTATATTTGCTTCATACTGGCAAGGATTTCTTCTTTCGATTCTGGTCTTTCTCGGAGCAATTCCAGACAATGTGGAGGATTATACAGCCGATAGTCTTGCTGCGGCAATACAAGATGCCTTGATCTGTATCGAGATGCCTATTTTTGCCATTGGACATTGGTATGCCTTTTCATGGCACGACTATGCAGATGTCACTATATCTGCAGCTAGAATGCCGGTCCGCTACGCTATTCGGGATGCTTTTGGTATTCGTGATCTCATTGAGGATACGAAAGAGACATTCAGTGGGAAGAAATATGAGTATCGGTTATTTGATTCAGGGGATAACGTCTTGGCCCATGAAGGATCCTCGTCAAGAGTTGCTCGGATGATGGAAGGTATGCGATACGAGCGTGGTGGGAAAGGAAAGTATTGGATTCCCAAGCCAGGCGAAGCAACCGCCAGAACACCGTTGCTTGGAAACAATGCTGGATCTCCTGGAAGCCAATCTCCCGTACAACCTCGTGATGGCGATTCCGACTACATGGGGTGGGGAGACGGTGGGGTAGAACAGCAAGGTCTTGATCCTGAAGAAGAAGGTCTTTATGAGAGAGCTAGACAACTGGAATTCGGGGATTGGAATGTAAGTAAATTTGGCTTACTGCATGCTTAAAGCTAATCAATCATTTATAGTATCATGTGATTACTGCTCATGAACCGTCAAGGGAAAGATGGCTCACTGGGCAGCCTGATCTTCTGACAACCTCGGCAAATCGTCATCTCCTTCAACCTACTGATGACAACCGTATTCGAAGAGCCAGTAATATTAGAGAAACGGTCGAGGATGTCACTAAACGAACTAAGAGAAAGTCTTCAAGGAACAGTCGTAGCAGAGATTCCAAAGGCAAGAATAAAGAAAATTCGCCGCTGAGTGAAGAAGGAAGGGCTCCAATGCTCAAAGGCATGTTACGACAACATTCGTCTGCCTCCAGTTCAGCCAAATCCGACAGAAGTCAATTGGTTGATGTCATAGTCGAAGATACTGCGGCAGAAGAAACTGAAAGAGTTCGGGCTCGCAAAGAAGGAAGTTCGGGATGGAATGAAACTGAGCCCCGACGTTTTGTGTAAGTCCACCCTTTTATTGGACAAAACTCAAGGCTAATTCTTAAAGGCGAACATATGGAGACGGTACAGGTGAGGACATCCGGGAAGGATTCGAGCCCAATGATGATGCAGAGGCTGTGGATCCCAAGCCAGGTTTTGATGAAGAGTTCGCAGTTGATGGGTATAAGAATCATGGCAGTGTTCAGGAAAGCTCGGAGGAATCACACCATTGGAATGAAGCTCGACAAGAGAATGTGTTATTAAAGCCTAAATACGGAGTTGACGGAGAGGCGTTTGAGAATGTTTGGGGTAGTGGAAAACCATCGACTCCTCCACGGGAAAACCCCTGATGTATAATAAACACCCTTTGGTCTTTCGGGAGTGTTGCGGATATATGGTTGAGGCGTTTGTTCTAAGCATCATGTAAACATACACGGGTTTTCTTTTCTTCTTTCTTTTGTTTCCGCGGTTTTACCCATTCATACCGTAAATTAAACATAGGATTTTCTTCTCCAATTATCTGTGAAATTAAGGAATTTGATGTATCGCATTTGGGGTTCCAAGTACCAGGGCTGTGATATCTAGCTCTTTTCTATTTGCTGGTCCACGAATGCGACAAATCATATTTACATGGGACCAAGGAATATACCACGGGCATCTCAAATCTCAGGTAACACTTCCCATGCACAACATCCAAGCTCCATCGACCACTTGCTTATCTCAGTAGATGAACCATGTGTTGGCTTGGCTGGGGAATTACGGTTAACCCCGACTTGGTTTAAAGCTTGTGTAACACTAATCCGTTGACCCACTCTTCCCAAAAACACAAAGTCAGTCTACGGTGTAATGAGAACAGCTACTGGGCCCCTAATAAGGAATACTGTAGTAATGATAACAACTTTTGGTAAATTCGGTCACGATTGATTATTCAACACCCATCGAGACCACAAATTTTACGATGATGAGTGAGTTCCTTTAGGCTAAATAAAAGGGAAATTTCTAAAAGGCTATCTCGGATATTGTATATTAATGCTACACAGTATCACATTATGATACATACACCTAATTAGCGGGCCGAAAAGGTGTCTTTGTCTACTCGATATTCTATAGCCGTCGGCTTTACCTTCTCTGTGTAACTAACGGGCTGTGTTGTGTAACCACGGGACGGCAAAGGTTCTGAGGTTATTATGATATCTCTTATCCACACTTAGGAAGGAAGGGCCACTCAGAACTCAGAATACTTGGCTGGGCGATGACATCCGTGTCTATAAAAAGAAGGGGCCGAAATATTAAAGCGGGGATGACATCTCCCAGCTACATATGACCTAGTGTATGACCCAAAAGAAATCAGTAGTAGGGCTAAGCTTGCGAAAGAGCATCCTGTCATAGAACATACCCAGTACTTAGCACCTTTCAAAAATGGCATTGGATTTTCATATGTAGCTACTGGGATTCATGCGCTGTTTCCTGTCTCAAGAGGAATTTCACGTAGCATAGCATGCAATGTTCTCTTGCTTATAAGCTCTTACCCGGCTGCTCTGATGACCAAGGGTTCCATACTGCTTCCCGTTTGAAGAATCCCAACGTATCGGTAGCGAGTAAATCTTGGGAATGTATATATAAACCTCAAGACTCACAACTGATCTGAGAAAATCCCTTTCAAAAAAGCGGCTCTGCTATATCTATTTATGTTGCAGCGGTATCCCTTCGATTATTCTAGGCTATACACGCTTTGGGCTTTATCACCCTTTTGCGAACCGACCATTAGTCTAAAAGCACTTGCCATCTAGCGATCTCTAACACAATTTATCCAATCATGTTGAATATAAGGGTCGGGTGGACAAGGGACTACTTACGTTGAGCTTCTTGATCACATCTTCATTACATATATTCTATAATCTAGCCCAGGATGACTTTACATTAGATAAATTTTGAATTTCGTTATTGGAAACAGCTCATGAAAAAGATGGCCGACGAAAATGTACTAGGTAGCTGGAGGTAGTTAAACTGCTTACTTCTCAATGTGGAAAGAACAAGCAACTCGCGACACGATAAGGAAACACTAAAGCCTTTACAAAACCAAAGAACCTCACGTCACAAAAACCCATCAATTCTCTGTTCCTATTCACCATGAAGCCTGCCACTTGAGCGGGCGATGTATGTTCTCATTAGGTACGTCCAATCTTCATTGTGCTTAAATATACCATCTCTGAACATCATTGATTCCCTTTCAATCCAATTTTTGAGCGTCTTGGATGCAATCAAGTGTTCTTACTCTTCCCCTGCTAACATTCCAGTTCGGACTACCTAGTTCCTGGGCCTTTCAGACTATACGAGTGCTCCAATGTGCTTGTAAGTTACATATCAAACCCTGCGAACTATCGACGCGAGCGAGGTTTCCTTCCGATGCAAACATACAAAGGGAAGTACACCTGCGAACGGGAGATTAGCAACCTTCGTCTTTCAAATTATTTGGATGCAATAATCACCTTCAACAATGGGTCATCGGCCTCTACTCGAGCCTGCGCTACAAGAAGTTGAACATCTTGGATCGGCATCCTACCATTGATTAGATCTAATTCTGAGAGAGGAGCAGAGACAATCACTCTAGTCTTTCCGCGAATGGATAAATCGCAATGGATCCTAAGAATTGTTGTACGTTTTCTCTGTTGGAAGTACCAATATCATAGTCTCTGGAATCTATCGCACTTGCTATTAGTGTGCTTCTCTGCCCGCTCATTGCTTACTGACCGCTTGACCACTGTAAAGTTCTGAGGGTTAGCGTTTAGCCATTACCACGTATCGCCTTTAAAAGTTAATGAAATATTTGATTTCGAGTAGAAGATTAAGACCGTGTTACTTGGGAAAGTGTCCCATGGTTTTTGGTTATTCGAATGGATATGAAGTTGGAAACTTACACCACAAGTGTGAAGGGGAATCATTCTATGTTCAACATCGACAAATCCTGCAGCTCTCATCATTTCTGGAAGCCGGGGTGCCACGCGAAGATCTTTCAAGCCGTTCAAGCTCTCATTGTACCTAGTACTCCACTGTCTAAGAGCATGGGCTGTTGTTTTGTTCGATCAGATACAGTATCTTTACATAGTACCTGTCTGGAGAACTTACCCTCTGTTAGACTTCCATTGTCTGACTGAGCGTTATGATGCAGCTCCACCAACTGGCACCATCCTCCGGGTCGGAGTACACGAAGCATATCACGAAGGTATCCAGCCCATCTGTTCACATGTATAGCGCCCGACATCAATCGACTGTGGACAAGGTCGAAGTTGTGGGCCTGAAAAGTGAATCTATCAGATGTTATCAGACCTATTCCTTCTTTAGTCTTTTCTGTACAAACCGGTTGTTGAGATCGTCCACTTGCAAATACAAGTTTTCAGGTACGGTTTCTGGCTGGAAGGGATAAATATCAATCGCTATAACCTGCATGAACGTTAGCACTCGACCACACAGGCGGCTCCAATATTTCTGATGATGCTCAGCCATCTGCCCGGTACTGGCTGAGCTCTGCATTATATACACTCGAAGAATCATGCCGTTTTGTATTTCACTGAAAAGCAAGGGAAAGGAAGAGAACCTCGCATCCTGGGTTTTGTGTAGCAACGTCGATAGCCCAGCTGGCTGTTCCATAGCCACAATCCAGAATCCTTCTAGGTCTGTTCAGAGTCGGAAATAGAAGACGATTGTCGAAAACTCTGTTTAGGACTGCGTGCCAAACACGCAATCTTTCTAATTCGTCCTGCGCGGATGTTTTAGTTGAAGCTTTCTAGACTATTGTGTGTCTGCTGGTCGTATTACCTCATCGATAGGCTGGAAGTAAGATAAGTTCGCTATGGCATACTGCTGGAAGTGTCGATTGTGATATATGACAGTCTCGAAATAAGTGTTATCCACTTCGACTGTCTGAGATTCGGGATGGCTAGGTAGAAAGTTGTCATCTTAGCTAGTGATTCATTTTCTAGGGACCTTAATTGCAGAGCACAGAGAACCTACCTCGCCATGTTAGTTCTTCTCAATGTCTTTTAACCAAAATTCGTGCTACTGTTGCTTTCAAAAATCTAGTTTGAGGTAGCCGATGCGGGGCCAAAGACTGTATAACATGTATTGTCGAGGTTCGATTTTCAGTTTAGTTTTTCAAGCAAATTGGCGATCCATGCAATTCTCTTTCCGTCTACTAGATGTCACTGAATACCTCTATTGTACAAGCATCCATGTATTCTTATTTGCTATTCGTTGACCTTTTCAGAGCCTGTGTGGTGCGGGCATAAGCGGTTGCTTCCATGTCTGCACAGTCAATGTGGCATCTATCTGTTCCTTCACAAACGTGGTAAATCCGTGGTGTATGTCATATAAAAAGAGAGAAAACAGCAACTAGTTCAATAGGCAATAAGTATAGAAAGCTATTCCTGGCGCAAACCTTTATCAGAGTGATTAAAGAGCCAAATAGAAAAAGTCGCGAGCCACTCAAATTCTGTTGCTTGAATTAATGAGGCTTCAACAAGAAGGTCGTCAGTTGGTCTATTCACTCTCCAAGGTTCTTCTGCAAGGTCTGAGCACTAGTAAAGCCTTTTCTTTCCCACGTCAATAGGAATCAGAATATGAAAAGCTAGCGGGTGCTGTGCGGTACCTCCGAGTTCACTAATCGAATCGAAGCGGGGCAAAGAGTTCCTTAAATTTGCATCGACTAGCAGGTTATCTTTGCAGGCACCTCAGCATGCTTTAGGTTTCACTACTGGTTAATGGTCATGGTGTAAACTGACATTTGGCTATTGATACATGGTACTGAACAGTTCCACCACAACGAAAGAGGTAGCCATACTAGGATAGACCACAATCGGCGTTGCATGCCTCCTCTGGCATCCTTTCATCATGAGTGAAAGTTATGTTTCCATATAAAAGCCAAGGTCAAAAATCTCTTGAACAAGATGAGTGTTTATTGCGGCTTCTGTATTCGGACTATGTGAATACCTGGTGAGCGTATGACAAGAGACAAGGATGAGATATTGAGTGGCCACAGCCTGTAGCTGTTTGTTACCTGCACCAACGGGCCTTAGTTATTTTATCCAAGCTTATGACCTATAGTCAATCCAGTACATGTACGATGTGTTTTGCTGGATGCATGTCAAGCCCGTTATATGTGTTGATGGAAATTTTACCGGTAACACTAAGAAAGCAAAATCTGTACAGGCTCGGGCCGCCGATTCTTAAACAGCACAGATCTTCAGCTAATCATTCACCCTTGGTGGGCAGCCGACTTATTACACTTCATGTTAGGCATGCTCAGTGGAGCCAGACAATCGAACCGGGTCATTGGAACAAACCTTCTCAACGATAGCTACTAATGTTAAAATTGCAGTGCATAACAAAGGTGAGTAATTTGTATTCATGCTCTACGAACCTTATTTTGGAGAGATGATTTATAAGCTTGCTGAATTGTGGTAAATGGAAACAACACATTCTGTAACTTATGACCTGAAAAATTACCAGACTTGAGATTGTATGGACTATCAATGGCAAGAATTCTGCACTACCCGTGGAATATATTATATGGAATTCTTCAATCATCAAGACCCGACCCACTCGAACGTACAGATTACCTTCATATGCGTCACCCCCACCATAGCATACGACAACAATGCGTGCTCTGATGCCACTAAACGCTGGATCACACGACATTGTATATAGTGGCCGCATCAGCAAATATCCTTCAGCCAAAGATACCATGATGTACAGCTTGTTAATACCCAGTGGAGAAGCACAGCCTGTAGCAGCAAAAAAGCAAAAACACAATGGAGAGATTACCACAACTCGACTAGCCTTCCAATCTCTTAGACTTATTCAACGTTATTGTAGGGTTTTCTAGCCGGAGCGAAGTCGGACATGAGCCTAGGTATGTATGAAGTTTGATCCGATGGGGCCACTGTTACAGTTAAGCGTTTCCAATATGGAGAAACTTTAGAGCAAGAGGTTACATGCCGTAAGGATATCGGGATTTAATATCAAGTTCGACATCTGTGGCATCCCGAGTGTACTAAGCTGCCGTTCCTGGACAAAGTCTCCGAGACCCATTGCCTCGGAGATGTAGGGGGGTGTGGATTATGACTAATATTAATAATTTTGCTCAAGTAAACGGGTTATAGCAAGTTTTGGAAATTTTCTTCACCCAGAGATATAGTAGTATCATGAGGCCTATCGCAAAACCGTTGACAAACGTGTGGAAAGTGCCATGATTTATGTGAGTGCACGTGGAAAACCATTCTTCTGTGGAGATCATCACCTTTTATAGGCCGGCTACATTACATGATTAGCGATGAGGCATTAATGGAATTGAAGAATGGCCATTACTGAAAAAGTTTATAAGTTTCAGTTCGGAGAAAGAGTTTAGCTAGCACAGTCCGCTCCGTGTATTATCAAGCACGTCGGCCATTGGGCTATACTATCACCACAAATACTAGCAGACTCGGGAGATTAATCGTATGCATTACGTTGCGTAACATGTGCATCTTTATCCCCCAAGGATTGCAGCCTGACTCTCCCACTCAGTATCAAACCTTCGTCCGATATCAAATCTGGCTTCCTCGCTTTCCGCTCCAAGCAAGACAAGCAGCTTCAAAATATCATCAGAAGTAAGAAGCTAGAACGACTTGGCTTTCGTGTTCGGATGATTCGAGTTGGCCGCCTCTGTCTTAAACCTTAACTTTCTTCAATATCCATGACCACGTCTCATAAGCCTCACGCCAAAAAGCCATCCGAGATTTGAGTTCCCTCTACGTGTATCAGTGTCGAGCCCTGGCCGCGACAGAAAAGCCATGCAGATCGCCTATGTACGGATTAGATATGAGACTTACCGAGCTCCATAATGCTCCCTGCTAATATCTATACCACGCTTTTCAGTGAGCCATGATCGCCTTACACAGGTAGCATAATTGTTTATTTCTTGCATCCGATGACTTTATGCAAGATGCATAAGTTATACAAATGCATCTAGCACCCACCCTGTCCTAATATCATTCGTTACCACACGCCTGGACTCGGCACGTCGATGCCACTGGCGATCAGTGTTGGTATTCGGATGAGTTGGGAGATCGCCTCCAGCAGGCTGGAACGGTTGACAAGCATATTTCTTTTATGCGTCGGCCGTAATTCGAATATGTACCATGTGTGTTACTGTCTCCAATTGTCTCCAATTGTCTAACTAGATTAGGATCAACGTCGAAGCGACTTCATATGCGGAAATACATAATCAGCGACGCGAGCATGCTGGTTTCCATTAGCTTGGCATCGATCTAGATGATGAGCGAACTTTTTAACTCACTATAGAGAAACCAGGACATGGATCGAGAGGATATAAATTTCACAGCGCACGTGGGAGATTCCGGATATGCATACATACGTACATATCCTCCTTTGACAAGACCAATTAACACACTTTGAAACCACTATTGGAGAGTAACAGAAGCTGAGTCTCAAAACAAGTACACATTGGATTATCAAGCCAATATATTGCAAAGTGGATACAGATATACATAAATAAATACCAAGAAAGCAAAACCGACCCCATCGCTCGGCCCCTGAGACCATCCGGGATGCGTAAGCGACGGCAGTGCAGCTCGGCCGCTAAGAAACGGGGTTAGTCGTCTGGGTCTTGGATTCTGCCATGGTGTGGTATGTGCATCTAGTTAGTTTCGGAGTGACATGTTTTTCTTTTCTTCTGGCAGTGCCGCTGTGCGAGAAGGGGAGGTGGGATGCGTGGAATCGAACCGTGGTTATGGGTCGAGACTTGAGAGGGGACGGGATGGGATGATGGGATGCGTAGTGTTTGAGGGTTTGGAAGGGGATGAGGGGTGTTTGTATGTGTGTATTGTGTTGTGTTGTTTTGTCTTCTTTACTGGATGGTATATCTCACTTTACTCTCGGGAGAGATGTATCTATCAATCAACATTCCCATTTCCAATTCTCACAAATCTCCATGCTGCAGAGACAAGATCTATTCCTACAGAAAACACATTGAGTAACAGCTCATCAATCCATCAATTCACCAATCAATAACAAAATTCAAAAACTCCAGAGATGAAGAATTATTAAACCGGACCAATAACTCAACATTCCATCCTCTACCGCCTTCTCTCTCTCCTTTATATCATACATTTCATACCTACACGCAGAATTATTTTCTGCGTAACTCACATTGTACGTATCCTCATTCGAATTCTCGAATATTCTCCACCGAGCTACTCGAATACCGCTTCTCCTTCTCCACTCTTGGCACTGGGGATGGGGATGTGGATTGGTAATGGGAATTGATCCAAATGGAATGGGATGGGATATTTTCTCGGGGTCTAAATGACATCGTAAATGAGTAAATGAGTCTATCTTGGCATAGATATAGAGTTATGTTTTTTTCCGTCGCAAATCTCGGGTTTTGTATTTTTTGGGGGGGGGGGGGGGGCTATAGTCGTTGGTAGGTGTGGTATCTCGGGCATGTTATTGTGAGGTGTGAGGTGTGAGGTGTGAGGTGTGAGGTGTGAGTTATGAGTTATGAGTGGTGAGGTATAAATTGTAAATCACATCAGGGTTTCTTCATGAAAAGGGGAAGAGGGAATTTCAAGGAGAGGTGCGGAGGAGGAGGTATGGAGAAGAATCGAGACCCCCCCCCCCCCCCCAATAGATTTTCATTTCATAGGTACTTACTTGTCTGTCTATCTATCTACCAGACTTCCAAGCTGTAGAATGTAAATTTTCCAAACAAACCCCGGGGTTTGTAAGATTTAACTCGGATCTGGGATATGGGTTGATAGCTGTGGGTGTTTTAGAATTTTGCAGCAAGCAGGACAGGATAGGATAGGATAGGACAGATATAATGAGAGAAATAGGTATCCGATGAGCTCGCTCTGGGCGCGAAGAAGAGTTCTAAACTTGTAAACTTGTAAACTTCTGTTCTTCTGCTCTTCTATTCAATGTCCACTGAGATTTACCAAAGAGAGGATTACACACACAATACAGTCTCGCACGATGGAACAGATAATCTCTTTCTATTCCCTCGTGCTTCCTTTGCTATGTTTCGCTTTCTTATTGTATATCTAGAGAGCTATCTAGAGAGTGATGTTAATATGTAATGTGAATTCACAGTAGGTAGGTAGATCGATCCTTTCGAACTCGTCGGTGTATACTCATACTCATACTCATACTCATACTCATACTCATACTCATACTCATACTCATACTCATACTCATACTCATACTCATACTCATACTCATACTCATACTCATACTCATACTCATACTCATACTCATACTCATACTCATACTCATACTCATACTCATACTTGTATATAGTTCTATTCACATTTCATTGATCTTGCTACTGTTACCTACTTTCCAAGTTGATTCGAGTGTTTCCAATTCACTTCATATTCCAAGTACAATGTTTCTTTTTACGCCCTGGACTATGATAGAGATGTATCGGTTAAAGATAAATAAAGCAGATATAAAAAGTGGAATTATATTACAAAGTCGGGAGTAACAAACTCCAAAGCAAAAGAATTCTACGGAGTAATACAGTAATATTGATATTTATCGATACCAACGACTCAATATTAAAAGGGAGCTTTCCCTCAATTGTAAATTGACATTGAGAAATTTGTGAAGCTATAGATTTGTATTGTTTATCTTGTAAAAAAGTTTCGTATTCATCTCTATGTATCATCCTCCCATTTTACTTTTTGGTACGTAACACCTGACGGATACTGCATCTGAATACATTATGTCGTGAATGACTAAAGAGAACCCTCCCCAAAATCTCCAAAACGCCATGCATAATTCCATTATAGTAAGCTTGAAATAGAATTGTGCCTTGAATGTCAGAGGGTATTTTAACGACTGTTTGTTTTGCCGATACTGCGTTTTCCGGAGAACTAATTGCACATGTGTTAGCAGGGCGTTTGATATTGGGTTTAGAAGACCATTTTCAGGTACAGTAAGGAATGATGTGGGAATAGAGGATCGAGGGCAGTAACGTACCAAATGCTTTGGTCTGACACCAGCAACATGCCTATCGGCTTCACCTTGTCTCGCCATACGATTCATCTTTCTCTGGCCGAGTTTCTGGGCACGCTCAGCCTTTGTCCTGGACTCTTCGTTTCCAGCAACACCATCATCTCTTCTATTGGCCTGGCTTCTTGCTCTGCTCTTAGCACGCATCTTAGCTTCATAATCAGGATCATCAACATCCATAGCATCTTCAGTTTGTGCGCGGCTGCGTGTTTGACTACGGCCTCTAGATTGGGAGCGTGCACGGGCGACAATAGATGTGGTATCGTGACCGAGAGAGTCGAGGTGATCTTCCATCTCGGAAAGCTTCTTGCGAGTGGCAGAGCGGGGAATGAGAGCACGGTTCTTGAGGGATTTCTTCATCTTGGCTTCATTCTTGATGAGTTCACGCTTCTCGCGGATGAGGTTAGCCTTCATGCGGATCTCAGCATCTTCAGCATCCTCGAGATCGTCGTCAGAGTCGTAGTATCCTTCTGCCTCGAGCTTCTCTTCTTCCTCTTCCAAAGCGGCCAATTTGGCCTCGATATCTGGGTCCACGAAATCGTAAACGTTCTTTCCGTCGAAGATTTCGGGAATTTTGTCGTGCTTCCATTCGTCGTTCTCGAGCATATATTTATCCTTCAAGTCTACGTTGTAAACACCAGCTCCACCATTCTCTTCCTCAATATCACGAGCAAGCCTGATGCGCTCCGGATCACTTTTGTCGTACTTCTTCTTGGCCAAGGCAGCCTCTGGAATGAAGGCCTCACGGACAACACCATCCATAGGTCTGGCAACGTGAATTCTTGCGAGGACATCACCCAATCTACCACCAACAGCACCACTGCTGTTTGTACCAGCCTTGAGCTTTTGAGCAACACGATCAGCGATCAGACGCTCGCATGCAGCATTCTTAACTTCTTGAACTCCCTCGGCAGTTGTACATGATAGTTGCAATAACTCAACATCACCAGGCTTAAGGAGTGCCTGGAGTTGAGCTTGAGTCTCAGGATCCAAATCTTCGGGGCGTGTAACATCAATCTTGTTAATGACGATGAAAACGAGTTTGTTGGCGAAGAGAGGTTTGATACTTTGGAAAAGTTGCATTTGTGCTTGAACGGTGTAACCACACTGTTCAGACAAATCCATGAAGTAAAGAATGGCAGATCTTAAATGCGCAATAGCAGTAATAGACTGCATTTCAATAGTGTTCATCTCTTCCAGTGGATGATCCAATATACCGGGGGTATCAATTGCTTGAAACCTTAGGTATTTGTAATCGAAATGTCCGACAAACAAACTTTTGGTGGTGAAAGCATATGGTTGAACATCCACATCGGCTCTAGTAACACTCTTCAAGAAACTGGACTTTCCAACGTTGGGATAACCGCAGATCAAAAGTGTTCTTGTATTTGGGTCGATAGATGGAAGACGACCGAGATGCTGACGAACTTGATCGAGATACAAAAGAGGGTCTTTAAGTCTTCTGCAGATGGTGGCCATTCGTCCCAATGCAGCACGCTTAAGTTGTTTACATTGGAAGAGGGATTGACCATATTTGAGAAGTCGAACATAATCGCGAGAAACAATTTCAATCAGATGTTTGGCAGTTGACAATTGTCCTAGAGCGATACGGAAATGGTCGGCATCGTAGAGGGTGTTGAGGAGATCTTTGTGGAACGGATGAATATCTTGTAGTCGTGGGAATCCGTCCAAAATGAGAGAGAGCTTCTCGGAGAAAGTCTCAGCTGTGAACTTGACCTTTCTAGTGTAGAAACCTAACATGAATTAGTTAAAAGAGTCGTTGCGATGAAGGCAAATAAGTTCTGTACCTCTAATTCTGGTAATGGCAAATCCAGAACGAATTTGTGTAGGCAATCGACGTTGTGTTCTGCTCAACACAATATCGAGAAACTCTTGAGAGGTTGGAACCGGTTGAATATCCTTCCATGTGGTCTTCATGATGGGCAAATGGTATCGATGAAGTGTGATGGAGGTGTTGATGGGGATATCGAGAACTCGGCTTGAAGTTCTTTCGATAAGAATTTGGATAATTTTTTTTTGCTTAGTGCCTCAGAAACTGGCCGCGCTAGTGTATCTTATCGCTAATCGGTATTTAGAGTGTATTGGAGTGACTCTATCAGCTTTCAATCATATCAGAAAGTCTTACCTAGGTGGTAATTTCACTTCAAGCAGACAAAAATGATTCGCAAAGACATGATCGAGAGTATGCACAGCTCGACCTCCCTGTTGTGATTTTGCTTACCAGCAATTTGAGTCGGTCGATGGTGACTTGTATGTCAAAAGGAAGTACGCACCATTTCCATGTGGTGTGCCTTAAAAGATCCTTGCGGCGTCGACCTATCCTTCAAGTTCTGTTTTGGAGAGAGGAGAGAATTAAAACATTCAATACGATATACCTGGTATTCTTCCTAATACCTGCATTTTCATGTAGTTGTTGTCAAATGTATAGTAACAATCAACATCAACTGTAACGAAAAGAATGAATCAATGCTTATCATTGTATTCGTTTGGCCTGTACCAAATCTTCAATGAAACCATGACCGTAACATCTGCTTATCCGTTTTTTCTCAGGGTCGCTCATTCCCCACCATAATATCTTAGGTGCATCCGATGAGGTACCGAGAGGGGAGATGAAAAAATTATTTCCCCTCCATGACATAGACATTGTTATACGTAGTTCGAATTCCAAGACACAAAAAAACACTCGAGTTCCACTCACACACAAAACCTCGAACCTCACTCATTCCACACTTCGATACACATATCCATCATGTCCACCCTTTCTCCATACAAAGCTGAATTCCTCAAAGCCGCAATTGATGGCGGGGTCCTCAAATTCGGCAGCTTCGAATTGAAGTCGAAACGAATCTCTCCTTACTTTTTCAACGCCGGCGATTTCTACCGCGCAGATCTTCTCCGCGCTATTTCTACTGCTTATGCAAAGGCTATCATCGAGGCACAAGAAGCAAACATTCTGGACTTCGATATTGTGTTTGGACCTGCATACAAGGGCATTCCTCTTGCGACAGCTACCGTGGATAAGTTGGCCGATCTCGATCCAAAATACAATACTATGTGTTATTCTTTCGATAGAAAGGAAGCCAAGGATCACGGAGAGGGAGGAAATATCGTAGGAGCTCCTTTGAAGGGAAAGAGAGTTTTGATCGTGGATGATGTTGTGACTGCCGGAACTGCAAAGAGGGAGGCCATTGACAAGATTCGCAAGGAGGGTGGCATTGTAGCTGGTATTTTGGTGGCATTGGACCGAATGGAAAAATTGCCTTCGCCAACTGGAGATGATAGTGCCCCAATGCCAAGTGCGATTGGAGAGATCAGAAAAGAATATGGGATTCCAGTTTTGTCTATTTTGACATTAGATGATATTATTGGAGGTCTCAGCGGCATTGCGTCAGAGGAAAATGTCAAGAATATGGAAGAATACAGGGCTAAGTACAAGGCCAGCGATTAATAGATTCGAGACCCTGTTATAGCGCGTCATGCGGACATTTTTGCTCAGAGTGATATCAGATGTTAATAATCCGATTTCTTAATATTATTTAATCTATACTCTCATCTAATGAATTTTTAAATATATCATCTTACCTATCAATTATATATCATTTTAAAATAAATTTAAATTTAAAATCTAAATCTAAATTATTTTCAAAGATTTCAAAGATTTCAAAGATTTCAAAGATTTCAAAGATTTCAAAGATTTATATTAAAAAAGATTAGATAATATAAATTTTTATATTAGATAATTATTACAGAGGAATAGCTAGATATGTCGAATAATCACTTTGATTAGAAGATAGATATATATGATAATATTTGTCACGGCGCCAACTACATGATCTGTAGTTGCCTTCGTGCCTCAGGCACAGAATACTAGCGCGCCGTGACAATATTAAACTAGATTGACTTGAGGTATAATTATAAGGATTATATCAATCTTATATATTTTGATTGAGCAATAGAGTTGTTTAATTAGAGAAAAGACGTGTAGAATAGGTAGATTATTCGTATTAAGTGTAGTGCGTATTCTCTTGAAAGCTATGTACGATCCAGTTGAGTATATCAACCAAAGTGATTACCTAATACGCCTAATGCGTTTAGCCCGCTTTCTATTAGATATTAGGGTTCACGAAAGTAAAGAAATAAAAGAGGATTTTGTGAATATGTTTAATAGGTATTTTGGAGGAGTGCCATGCTTATTCATATGATATTCCACAAGACGGTGAATTCCGTAACAATAATATATATCAGATCGATTTTAGAATCAGATAATACTATATTAGACGAAAGAAATCGTTCTGAGCAAAAATGTCCGCATGTCGCGCCATACCCTGTTCGTAAATCAAGATACCCGTACGAGGAAATATACCACCACTTCACAAATGTTTGAAACTCCTGTGTGATCCCCTCTCCAAATGACAATGAACCGTGTATGAACCAAAACTGTAAAAGGGTATCATTCTCTAACCATAAGCTGTTCGTGCCTCGGGAGTCTTAAGATCATAAATCTGGACATGTGTCAGTGTCCATTCAAGACTGATCAGATGTGTACCTTACCATATCATACCAGCCGCCGCCACCAAATTGAGCATCACTCTTGCCCTTTTCTAAAAAGCCAAGCATCTTGTAGAAATTCACTTTATGCTTGAATAAATGTCAGTAAGATAAATGTGTGCGAAGACTATGCATGTCTCGAGTCAGAGCAAACTTACATCATGCGCGATAAGAGCCAATCTATCAGCAATTCCAGCACCATTCATTTGTTGCATGTACGCAGCCATAAGAACTTTTCCCAAACCGCGTCCTTGGAATGCCGGTAGAATGGCAACCGAATGAAGTACTATGGTCCGTCCATCTTCTTGATGGCCGATATTTGTACGTGGAGGTTTAGTGCCCTCCCAACCTTCAGGAACTCCCATGGATGCATCCGAAGCTGTCGTGTCATGTGTCTTGGCTGCAATAACATGACCGATGAGAACACTAATCGCTCCATTCCTTCGACTAGTTTCAACCGGACGGCCTGTGGCAAGAGTCTCGATTTTGGAATCGGAGCCGGGGACCATGGTGCAGAAGATACCCAAGCATAGCTCACCACATCTGGTAAGTCTATACCTTAGCTTGTCGAAGGTTAGCCACGCCAAATTCTCTAGACGAGAAGGGAATTAAGATATAGATGACCAACTTTTTCTCTAGATGCTCTTTCATTTGGATCTTCGAAAGCGATATTCTCGAGGGCCAAGACCGACTCCAGATCGGAGACAGTCAGAGGACGAGTGTACGGGTGAAGATCCCGATGAGAATTGGAATACATATGGAAGTTTTTGATTCGTTGATCTTCAGGTATAATTACAAAACCTCTTTGGGGTTCTTGCTGGTCGTCGAATTGTCGTGGTGTTACTGGATTGGGACTCTCTGATAAAATAGGTGATTGAGGTGTTCCTTCACGTTGTTCGTTTTCCGACATAATTTCAACTTTCTAGATTAGGTTGGGACCCGAGAAATGCTACTAGGTAGGTACCGTATCCAGGCAATTGTAGCCTTATGGGGAGAGATGGTGAATTAGTTCTAGATTTGACCGATTACCTAACTCCACGGGTAGAAATATGGCACGGATATGGACTGATAAGATTTGGAGGTTGGATCCGCATGAGCAATCCATTCACTTGTATTGAGCAATTGCAAAATGGAATGTCTGGAATCGATTTGATGGAAGTGAGGTCGAGCTGGGAAAACAGCAGATAAAATACAGGTGAAGAGTCAAAACCCGCGCCACAAAACCAAAAAAAAGAAGGCAACAGAGAACAAACGGCGTTTGATTCGATCATGTGCTAACAAGGCTGCTTTGTAGTAGGATTATACCTAGATAGGTATGTAGCTCATCGTCATTATTGGCTATTGTGTACAACCTTGATTGAGAGCTCGCATCTATATGCTGCTCTGGTGTAATGTAATGGTTATAATGGGCATTTTGGTAATATTTCTACAATAAATAGACAAATGAGGAAGAGATATCTACACATGGTCATACGATTAGATTGAGCTGATATTGTAGTAGATGTTGCAGTATATTTCAAGTACCTAGTATAAAGTAGCTCCTACCTACTACCTAGGTATGCTGCTTTCATTCTAGTTAGGTAGATACCTAGTATTCATATATTCATACATCTATACAATTGCTATTGAAACCCACGCTTGAAAATGTAACAACGCTTCATCTCTTCCATGGTTGAACAAGATATACGAGCTCGAAACATGTGGTTAGGTGACATTCAATTACATTACTAGGCTAACGAGTAGGTACTTATTGAGGCACATTTCTTCTATTGCACAGCATCTGCTTCTTGTGTGTGTGTACAAGAAGAGACCCCGAAAATTCTATATTTATATTCGCATTTATACGGAGTATCTGTTGATCTATTTCTTTTATCAGATGAAGCATTGAAGAAAACGTCCCCATTTGTATGTCTTTGTTGTCGCATCATTATCATTGCATTGAGGAATACCTTCAACATTTCCATACTCCAGAGTGCCGCTACTCCATATTCCATATACCTCAATCCCCTGCGGAAGAACATTCGTCACCAATTGAGGCGGATCTCTCATGTTATCCTCTTTAATCGGCTTCTACCCATCCCATCCATGGGTTTCATCGTCGGGTGCGGGCATGGCTGCATTCGCATGGTAACCAAAGAAGCTTTTAGCTACTCCTTAGGTACCTAATACCTAGTCAATAGATAATTTCATCTATTTTGAGTATCACAGGTCATTGGCACCATTGCTGATCGACATCAAACCGGTATCTTAGCTTCCCCAAGATTCTTCCTAGGTAGATTCATCACTCTTTGACATGCACTGCCACTGAAAATGAGTACCCGAATCAGTCACCAAGCCTTCCTGCTGCCGAAGACTTTGTCATCACACTCATTGGTATCCATGCATTCAGATGCACCGAATGAGGGAAAAGATAAGTGCAATGCAAGTACACCTGGGTAGTCAGTACATTCAAAAGCAAAAAAAAGAGGCAAACAAAAATGGTAGATGCTAGAACTTTCTGCGGTACAAAGTTTGCCATGTACCGTGTATGTAGTTCTACACTACCAGTGACCTCACAGATAGATAGATATTCGCTACAAACAACTTGTCTCCATTTCTAATTTACTAGCTTCATCCGCTTCTATTTCAGGCGATACTGGAGTGCTCGTCATACATGGATAACTACTTACCCCCAAGCTCTGACCGAAATAGTTAATAACCCCTCTACCATCACCATCACCATCACCATTACAATTTCAACTTCAAAGTTTCAATCTTTTCCACAAATTTCACTACTTCTCTTGAGAACCCAGATTTTCTAATATTTACAATATCATCTACTTTCTACAGTCTTCTAATATTGAAAAGTACAATACTTATTACTGCCACAGAAGTGCTACCTGTGACATAATCTTCAAAATGTTCGTTGAAGATCCCAAGAGAAGTGCTTGATTTGTGAGCTGAGGCTAATCATTTCAAACCTAGGCGTATCACTTTAACCATTACTGCTCCTACAGATGACGATGCAGATCTCATATCTCTCGAAATACCTCAAGACACCACGGTGGGCACATTGAAGGAATCCGTCCAAGCCGAATCTCGCATCCCTAAGAGAGATCAACATCTATACCACAATGGCCAACTACTACACGATGACAATAAGACCATGGAGCAATTACAGATTGGTGATGGAGAAATGCTTGCTTTGCATGTTAGGGAATACAGAGATCCTCCTGCTGCCACCGCACAACGAACTTCACAACCTGCTCGCGCACCTCCAGGAAGAGGAGGCCAACAACAGCCAGATCCAGAGACAATTAGATTACAATTGATAGGCAACGCGGAAATGAGACGAGAGGTCGCTCGTCAAAATCCGGAATTGGCTGCTGCTGCTGATAGTCCAGAACGATTTGCAGCAGTACTGAACCAAATGCGAAGCCGGGAAGCAGGTGAGGAGGCTAGGCGGAGACAGCAGATTGCGGATCTAAATGCCGATCCATTTGATGTCGATGCGCAAATGAGGATTGCGGAGATGATTCGTGAGCAACGAGTGCAGGAGAATTTGCAAAATGCTATTGAGCACAATCCCGAAGGTAGACATGAGGTACCCCATTCTGCCTGCGCCAAGCTTCTAACCTGATCAATCAATAGTATTCGGTCGTGTTCATATGTTGTACATCGATGTCGAAGTCAACGGACACAAAGTCAAGGCATTCGTCGATTCCGGTGCCCAAGCTACCATCATGTCTCCCAAATGTGCTGAAGATTGTGGTATAATGCGACTGGTCGACAAACGTTTCGCAGGTATCGCACGAGGAGTTGGTACCGCCGCTATTCTTGGCCGAGTTCACTCTGCGCAGATTAAGATCGGGAGTATGTTTCTTCCTTGCAGCTTCACCGTGATGGAAGGCAAAGATGTCGATTTACTTTTGGGCTTGGATATGTTAAAGAGACATCAAGCTTGTATAGATTTGTCCAAGGATAAACTCATCATACAAGGTGTCGAGGTTAGCTTTTTGGGAGAGGCAGATATTCCTAAGAATATGGAGGATGAGAGGGCAGAGGAGCCACAACTCGAGGGACCAGGAGGAACAACCATCGGAGCAAAATCTGGTGCAGTGTCAGGGCCTTCGACAGGACAGCAAGCACCCCAGAGCGCATCATCAGCACCAGCTGCTTCTGCTCCATCCGTCCCACCACAGCAGCAACAGCCGTCGTTTCCAGCAGAAAGTATAGATCAACTTGTAGCATTAGGATTCTCGCGCGATGAAGCCGTTAATGCGTTGGCGGCTTGTGGGGGAGATGTTCAGTACGCGGCTGGTCTTCTGTTCCAAGGATAGATTGGGGCTGGGCTGGATTGGATGCGCTAGGTTATGATACAGTACAGAGTGCGTTCAAACAATAATATGTTCAAAGGTCAGGCAGGCATGGCGTCGCATGGCAAAAAGGAACGAATGAGGGGCAGAAAGGATCAAAGTCAGAGGACACAGGACTTGATCTTCCCGACGATGTGGTCTGACGATAAAACCTTAAATAGCAAAACCGGCGTTAGCATAGCAGATGTGTGGCTTGATGCATTTGATTCTTTCTTCATGGTATATCTGCTCCTTTCTGATTTGAATTATGAAATGGGCGAATCTGGTCCCTAGGATAGTGCTTCACATGTGCCCATCACCTTCATTGTAATTACAGTACGCTTCCCCCACAAACTCATATCAACGTTCCCCCTATCTCAACTTGTAAACACAAGGTTTTAAAACTGCCGCCTCGCTGGAAACAGGTACCTCCTCGGGCTCATCCAAAAACTTAGCCTTGGGCTTCTTCTTCCACGTCTCTCCTTCTGGCATACCCTTTGGCACTGGTACACACTTGCCCTTGATAGGCGTTGCACCCTTAACAAAATGCATCTTGACAAACATCTTGTTACTCAAATCTACCGATTTTTCCGTCTGCAGAACAAATCCTCGCTTCTTAAGGACCTCAACGAAAGCCGAAACGTCGGTTTCCTGCTTGTTGTCTTCGTTACCATCAACGTGCACCATGAGATCTGCCTCGTTTTCCTCGTCGTCGGCGGCTTTTATGGCTTTTTTGTTGACGGGTTGGTTCTTTTTGCGGTGGCCTACGCTGTGCTCGACGACTTTCTTGTTGTTTCCTCCTACGCGACCGAAGCGGGATTTGATTTCAGCGATCCAGAGTTCACCTTTCCAGCGAAGAATGCGGAAGGCTTCTTCGATGAAGTCGATCCAATTGGTTCCCATGAGCGCCAGGCAGAAGATTGCGATATCGATACTTCCATCTTCGAGAGGGAGATTCGCGATATCCGCGCGAGTGACGAGGGGGCTGGGACTTTGGAGATCGAAACTGTGGATTTTTAGGTTGAGTTTCTTGAGATCTTTTTGGAGACCTGTAGAGAGAGCTGCGTCGCCGCATCCCAGATCAGCAATGCGACATGTGCCGTCTGTTCTTGGTAATGGAGTGAGATCAGTCTTTTCCTGGGCGGGTTGACCTCGCATATCTCGTCTGAGTTTACCGCGCTGGCGGATTTGGAGAGAGTAACCGTCGACGGGGTTTTCGGGCCAGACCTCTACTTGACGACGGAAACCTTCGTGGTACTCGGTGAACATTTCTGGGTTTTGTTGAAAGGTAGCGAGGGATTCGGCGGATGGAGTAGTATATAGAGATTGATTGAGGTGACGGAAGCGGGCGGAGATGAGCTTTTGACGCATAGAGGCTTGGAGTGGTGTTAATTTCGCTGCGGGCTTGGGAGGTTGAGGAGCTTTGCTCGAGGCAGCATTGGAGGTATCGTCTTTTGAAGATTGGTCATTGTCGGATGGTTTTGAGTCCTTGTCTTTCTTGTCCTTCTTATTCTTCTTTTGTTTCTTTTCTTTTTTGGATTCCGAAACTTCTGTCGATTCATCTGAAGGTTTTGCTGGTTTACTCTCATCCTCACCTGCGCTGACTTCCTTGGCTACCTTCTCTTTCTTCTCTTTTGTTTCCCCATTCTTTTCAGCATTCTTTACTTTCTTTGCTTTTGGTTTGCCTTCAATGACCGATTCCCAAAGTTCCGACAAGTTCGCTGCGTTAACATCTGGATTCTTTGCGCGTTTGCGTTTCTTGCTAGATTTCGTCTCGGCAGGCGCTCCTTCTTCATCAGCCTTTGAAGCTGCAGCAACAGGCTCCGCTTTTTGAGTTTTTAACAGACTCGGCGAGACTGACCATCCTGGAACTGCGAACATTGCGAAGAAATGGCAATGCTTGCTTGATGTTGTGAGGATTGATAATTATGAGGTTGGTAGTTGAGATAAATTCTAGACAATTAATTTTTTTCTGCTGCGATAAACTCGATAACGATGATAAATTTTGACCCCACATTTTTGCTTCAGCTAGCGTATTCTTCTGGGGAGCTTATTAACCGAACCATATGATGATCGATCGACCGAATTTCAATTATTTGATATACAGTAGAACTTGGCTATACCGGATTGAGAAATTCGATCTATCAAATCCGGTATAAAGGAGATTCTGGTATAAAAAATGATGGTTTAAGTGTTGCTATCAATTTTTATATCCGATTTCAATTCCAATCATTGATATTTTCAGAAAAATATTATGTGATAACAACTAATCACACTTACTCATACAAAAAAAAACTTATTCAGCTTAATTTATCACCAAAACTTATACCGGATTTGTGAAAAATAAGTCCGGTATTCCGGTTTTGCCCAAAAATCCAATATCACTATATAAAAAGTGATCAAATCAGGAAATTATTCCGGTATATCCCTGATTCTGGTATATCCCAGTCCGGTATAGCCAAGTTCTACTGTAGGTACTACAATGTTACCTACCTGCCAACTCACCTACTCACCTACTCACCTACCTAGTCGGTATCTAGTAATTCTTCTTCGCAGTAAGTTTTATTAGTAGTAAGAAAATGAATAATGTCTGATTCGCCCTCCATTTAACTTTATTCAATCTTGATTATTTGATTATTTGCCATGATTTACGTGGACAGCGAGTGCTTGCTTTACAGTTTGACCTTTGAACCAATTCTATTGTCTTAACATGCGGTGATATGCGTCTGGTATGATACCCTCGTATGGAGATGTTTGCTTCCCTCGGAGACCTACCGATTGAGAAAGAGTTTTACACATCCATTGGAACCTAGGTAATATTCTAGGTTATGATGGCGAATGTGTCTTGATCTGGAACTCTCCTTATATACAGTACTACTTATGTAGAATGATCGCTGTAGGTCATAACGCGGTGATGAAACGGTCAGCTCCAGGTGGGAGACGGCCGAACCGATTTTCTCTGGGTCGGTAGAACAGGGGTAAGGTTTAGTAGTGGCTTTGGGAAACATGGATACAAACCAAAAGATATTGGAATCATCAGCCTGTCATTCTTACAATCGGCCAAAAAGGGCACGAGAGGAGTTCTGAGATTTGCCATTATTTCTTGCTTGTCATACAAGGGATTGAAGGTCAATAGTCGAAGCCACAAAGTTTTCGGCGTCGTTTACAAGTATGGTCTAGATCGTTAGCTTCTCCGAACACCCAACCTTAGTTGCATACTTTCCGTCGGAAATAAGATCCAACTTCCAAGACAAGGATATCTAATTTGGAGCGGTGATGATATGGTACCGGTAGATTTGGCAGCTTGATATCAAGCGGAGAGTCCAAGATTCCGCCCCCGATGGAAGGTATCTATGGACTACGGAGTCTGGAATGCCGCTGTTGAATGTTCAATTAATTGGCAATACTGTTGGCCACCTCTAACACGAGGGAATGAATATACGATGTAGTGTACAGAGTATGAATTGCTAACTTTCCTTTTTTTATATGGGTAAGTATTGTGGTCCATGTGAAAATACTACATGGGAAGCCCAATAGACCGATGGCAGCATTCTGCATCAACCCCTGACTAACACCTCATTCTCCTCCTTTCCTACATCCGAATGTAAAAGATCAAGGTGGGTGGGTAGTGTTACCAGTCTATTTGGGTGCCTAAGTTTGATGTCAAGCCTTGTTTGAATCCCATAAGCCCAACTTCATGGGGTTTTCATAAGCTCAAGCCAATCGTTTCTTATCCCACGCAGCCTTGCAAATGAAAGACATTTTTAGTTTATGAGGGGATCTTCTCATCCGGCAAGCCACCAAAAATTAAAACTGGCTACTCGAGTAAAGGTTTACATACTGTAGTCATCTCGAAAATATATCCACTACAACGTAGAGCCAGCTCTGTAGTGATATGTTCAATTCCTACTTCCTCCTTACTTTCCAATTTGTCGATTTTTCCAATTTGGATGAAGCTCGGTTCAACTAGAGGAAAGGTCCACCAAAAAAACAACAACAACCGTATTGCAGGGAACCGCGGAATAAATCGAAGTGTGAATTTTGAGAAAAAGAGACTGGATGCTTCTTTCCTTCAACCCTCTCTTTACTTTTGATGCCTTTCTTCTACATCCAAATCTGGGCATCAACTTTGCCATCGCCATCGCCATTACAATCATCGTCGCCATCGCTACTGTCATTGTTGCCTCGCCCTTGCTGTCGCCATTTAATGATATCATCTACCTGACCTAGCTGAGCAACCTCCTTTTACCTTGGAAATTGGGACCCATCTTATTCAGCCTTTGTCGATTTTGGGTTAATCCCACCTTTAAGCACTCAAATACTGGTATCACACCAGACTTCAATTGCATACACCACCAAACGTCAACGCATAACTGGCTATACTTCATCTGGCATGACACATTTGAACTGAAGTTGCAAATAACAATGATTCACATCCCTTAGGGTACACAAATTGGTTGTTACTGTGAATAATCCCTCGTGGTGGCAATATCACCATTGTCTCAATTTCATCGACTTGTTCGATTATTGTAGTATATATTATGGTCTCCCAAGTTCACGGGTGAACCTACCGAAAATTGACGTTTCCCAAGGTTACACGAGTACTACCATGATGGAATCATGAGGTCCGAGTTTGAATCGTCATTTAAAGAGGGGAGATATAACTACGCTTAAACCAACCCACGGTCATTTTCAATATGAATACAGAGAAATCGCAGGATCTTGAAAACGAGGAGGAGGAGGAAGAGAGTCCCGCAGGTGTAAGAAAACCTGGTTCCAAGGCTCAGGGTAGGAAGCGCACGAAAACGGGATGCTTAAGTGAGTCTAAGCCGCACCAAAGCTAGGTTTGTGTTTGAAATGACTGACATTTCTACCCTGCTTTTAGCATGCAGAAAACGACGGATCAAGTGTGGGGAGGAAAAGCCAACATGTCAAAATTGTTCAAAATCCAAAAGGCACTGTGAGGGCTATATCCAGCGAGTTGTGTTCAAGGATCCTTTGAGTGCAACCCGGGGACCATTTGCCAATTCTTCCAGGCAACTTTCTCATCGGGATCTGGTCGGTCAAATCAGCGTCGTGTTGAGGCCCCAAAACCTTCTACTCTTACGCAAGTTCAATTACCAAATCTTGCACCGAAACCAGGTGACTCGGGCACATATCATAGCCCTCCATCTAGACTGCCCAATGAGACAAATCAAAGATTTGAACAAGGCATACACGTTTTCTCCGGTCGCGCGACTCAAGACGTAGTAGTCCAAAGGAACACCTCTCAAGAAACCCCAGAGGCAAAATCAGCCCAAAGAGATACCGTGGATCGTTCATACCTACCAACTCCCGAACACAGATCCCCTCCAGGTTCAGGGCCTACTCACTATGATTTTAATGCTCTCTTTGAGCAACAATCACCGCTTGGGAATTTCCCTGTTATGCAGTCCAGTCCCTCTCCATGGATTGTTGACCAGAATAGTACACCCCATGCCTACCCTCAAAAACATACACAAAATACGAATCCACAATTTTCGCTTCTCTCGCCACCTATGGTGACCACTCAGAGTAATACAAGCTGGCAACAACCGGCCTTTTCTCACCCACCTAATTTGAAATCAAGTATGTCACATGCCCCACTCACAAACCAAGTGACACCGACTATAGAAACAGCATATACACCTCCCTTTGACATGGCACAGCAGGCCAGTCATATATCGGATGAAACCTTTTCACATCGCACGGTCTCAAGAAAAACAGACGATCATACCATCGACAAGAAGAACTATGCGACGATTGAACGGGGAAATGAACGCGCATTTGACGATGATGAAATGAGCCTGGATAATGATCAAGGGGCTGATGACTACGAATATGATACTTCCAAAGCTCGGAACATGGACTATGGCATTGGACAAGTGATTGCCCTCCAAGCTCGACAGAATGCACAAGATCAAAGTCTTCGCTCTTTTACCTCACTGCTCGATCGATCTAATATGCTATTGGCTTACAATCCTTCACTACGGTCATCTCCACTCAATGATAGTATGACGGCTAAAATATTTTGTCATTTTATCAATGTGACTGGACCGAGTATTTCAATGTTCGAGCGGAATCCTGCCAATCCTTCTTTGATATTTCGGGGGACACCCGTGCCATCTTCTCAACAACATATCTGGACTTACACGTTTCCCATGCTTGCCTTGAAAAATGAAGCGCTTCTCCACGCAATACTCGCTTGCGCCAGCTTACACATTGCAAAACTGCAAAACACCCACATAACCGCATCTTTAAAGCACTACGCAATTGCTTTACGAAGGATTGCAAAGAGCGTATGCGTGCCTGGACGCCGAGAACATCCTGCTACTTTGGCTGCAACAATGCTGCTTGCGTTTTTATGAGTGCTGGTGTGCTGATCATCAAAAGTGGAGTAACCATCTGCTTGGGGGAAGGACCCTTGTGAGAGACATCGACTTCACTGGGATGACTCGCCATCTGAAGGATATGCGGGCACAGCTGCGTCAAGAAGACCGTGAGCGCTATCGTCAGGAGCAGATACATATGGGTAAAACATTTATTGAAGAAAAACGTAAATTCGCAGCCTCGTTAGAAGATGTGGACGAAAATATTGTTGGTGTATTGATGGGCCGAAGACTTCGCTACGATGACTTTGGACACATTATCGATGAAGTTTGGGAGAATACCGAAGACAGAATTTATAGCCCTAAGGATATTGAAACTTATGAAATGCAACGCGACCTTGTGTGGTGGTACTTTAAACAGGACGTTTACCAAAGTATATTAGGTGGAGGAAAGCTCTTCGCTGAGTATGATCGATGGAGTCTTTGCCCTCCGCGTGCACCACTCGGTCGATTAGACGCAGTTTACGGCACTTTTGATCATCTCATTCTGTTGATGGGACGACTTGCAGATTTCGCTGCCAAAGACTTGAAGAGGAAGACGTTAGCAATGAAAGCTGCGAACAACCCTATGAGTAATCAAATGCCAAATTTTGCAGGCATGGTACCAAATGTTAAGGAGGCAACTCTTCCTATGGGGTTTTCACCAACGCATTCTTCATCTCCTCAAAGCTCAGAGGGCGGAGATATGGATCTTGAGGCTCAAAGGCTTGAGGCAGAAGAAGAGTGGCAGGATATCCGCAATGCATTCAGTGTACTTGAAGATCATTTTGGTGAAGACTTTCAACCTTTAGGCGACGAATTCTCGACCCCAACTCAAACTCCCTTTGGCCCAGCTTTGCAATACCGAACTTATGGTATTGCTGGCATTTGGATGAACTATTACATGGGTCTTATTTCTTGTCATCGATCTCATCCTTCTATGCCACCAGCAGCAATGGTAGCTGCAGGCATGGCGGCTCGTAAGACAGCGTTCTTTGCAAACGAGCTCGGTCGTATCGCTGCTGGCATTGCACCGGATCTAAGCATGACACCTCAAGTCAATCCGGGAGTTGGTGCAGCACTTATGGAAAGCACAATCTGTCTCTTTTTGGCGGGCGTTCAAGTTAGTCTGTAATATCTGAGTGCTGTAATCTTGTACTGACCATTTGTAGTTCCAAAACCCGGACCAGCGGACATGGCTAATATGCCGGCTCAACGATGTGGCTCGTTTGACGGGTTGGGAAACATCACTCGCTAGTATGTAACTTCTTCATTCTCTATGAACTTGATGTCTCTACCTTTACTAATATATTTCAAGTCGCTTCCGGTTGCGAAACATCTTGGGTCAAGGCTGGAGAAATGGGGAGAGGTCCACCGTACACAAGGACGAGAGACGAGCGAGTAAGTCCACAAGTAGTGAATGTTACACGCAATGGGGAAAGAGTTGCAATGCAACAGCGGCAAGCAACTGATCAGGGATTCGTGATTAGTACTCATCAGAGAATTCATTATGCGATTGGTATTTTGGGTGTCCAAGATGATCTGAATAATCTTGACTTGAGATAAAAACCAATCATAGTCAAATGATATTCACCCTTTACAGAGTCCGAGAGTCGAGACACAAATAATCGAAACGTCGCCTGAACGATGGGTGTTTGGAAACAAATTTAACAATGCGACTTGAATCCGAAGTCGTCCAGAGTCATGTTGGAACAAGACCAACGGCTTGGTATAATGACGCTGTCAATAATGATATCGACGGTCGTCGCAGAAAGTGATTGGATAGCTCGTGCTCGAGCCTTGGCTGTCCAATATTTTTTCAATCTGGGCCATGAGTTCGAGATGGAAAGCAATGTTATGAATTGGGTTGGATCGAGTATGGGATGATGCCTTTCTTGAGATGAGATCGTGCATGATACGGATCTATGAATGAGATGAGCTTGCATAAGCCGAGGAGTCCTAGAACTCGTATAGTGTTATTCGTAACACAAATAATAATGTCATTTGTAATACTGATCTGGAAATGTTGTAGGAATATTCACGCGTTACTGTGATTTTATCTGTACCGATATTTGTGAGATTATGGATGAAGGATTTCGTGTGGTCAGGTAGTGAATATTAGACCATCACACATTTTCCAAATGAGGCCGACCGTCTTCGAATTCAAGATGGATGTTCTTGTTATCATCCAGGTCCAAATCTGATAATCAAGTGGTCCTTCATGCTTTAAACAATCAAATAATCTATCGGGACCTCGAAGCCCTGAAGTACATTTTATCGTCTATATTGAACTTCGACACTCACATGCTCTCACACATTTTGAGACTTCGTCAAAAGAACCACTCTTCACATTTCTAATCATTCATTTCGATATTAAAGTCTCATGTCATTTACGTTGTCTGAAGGTAGAGTCGAGGAGAAAATTCCATATTTCGATTTCTTTGGCTTCGTGAAGTAGTCTACAATGAGTTTAAAGGCGCTTTCGTTGACGGGAGTTCGGAAATCACACCTCATGTCAGAAAGCTGTACGGAAACAACGACTTCTTGACTAGTGTATGTTATCTCCTCTCATGGACTCGAGGAAGGGGAGAAGAATTCCAAGTTTGGAGATCTGGGTAGGGTAAGTGGAATGGACGGAATCACTTCTCTCGATTTCCAAACTCAGAAGCGGAAAACCAAAACGTCATCAGCCCTTGGATTATTTATCAACTCATCACCAAATAGTATGTCCCGACATTGAAGTTGTGGTAGTTGCAAACAACGTGCTTGCTTCATCAAGTAGGTAGGCACGGTGCACTTCGAGTAAACAAATATATCACCTCATCTTTTAAAACCTCCAGAATCATTTTTTGGTTGTTCAACTTACAACCTAGCAATTTAAAACATGTTTTTCGGCAAAACTACCGGGAAAAATAAGACTGGAGAGCAAGCTTCTAGTCAAAATGAGATCCCCAATATGGCCCAGTGCTTGGCTGCCAATCGAAGCAAACGCGACAACGAGCACATAAATGCGATGACCTTTCAAGATGAATACTATCGGGACCGTCTGCGAAATATGCAGGCCACCTACAAAGTTAAGCTAGACAGTTTCCCTGGTTTAGGTTACATTTCACGCATCAAACTGATCTGGGACCATGATCGTCTCTTGGGTACTTTTGAATTGGACGTTTCAAAGGTTCTTTACTTATTGATCCTGGTCCTAGTCAAGAGCACTTTAAGGCAGATATTGAATACTCAAAGTTCCACGAGGCACGAGCAAAAGATAAGGAATCGAGTGAAGAGTCTGGAGACGATAACGATGACGCAGATGATGGAGATGATGAGATTGCTACTACTCGAGAGTATCGTTTCAAATGGCGTGGCATAAATTCCAAGATACCACACAAGACTTTCAATTCTTCCTTTACTGTCGGCAAGATTCGATTTGGCAATGGCAAGATTTGGGGACACTTTGACGCAATGTCTGGTGTTGGGTTTCCAGGTAGTCGTTGTGAATTTCATGGCAAGATACCTCACGGTCCTTGTCTTGTGGATATGACTATTCAACAGTTTCTTGATAAATGGAATGGATATGCGGAGATTGAGGAGGATGAAGAGCCACGATCTCCTACTCCAAGATCTACAATGACAAGGTCACACACTGAACGTGATGGTGCTGGTTCAACACCTTCACCAAAGGGTGATACATCACAGATTGGGGAATGGACAGAGGATGATCAACAGAGTTTTGTTGATATGATTACAGGTATTTATGATATCACTAGTAGGGAGATAGAAGAGGATTGGTCGTCAAAGTCAAAGGGATTGATGGTTCGTCTTCACGTGGACCAGCAACAAGGAAAAGTGATGGGATTTTTTGACATCGGAATAGTTGAGGGTTTCTTCTGCTTGGATGATGGACTCGAAGACCTCACACATAACGATTCAATGGGTTTCACATGGCACGGAAAGGGAACATTCTCTGGATCATCTGAGAAAGGCACTGGTACGATTAGCATTCGAGCACGAGGAGGCAGAACAGTAGAAGGTATATTTTGTGGTATGCCTGATAAGAATGATGGCGAGATTGATTTCCGTGGTACAAAGCGAGTTCTCCCAATGGGAGTTTCGGGTCGCGGTGCGGGCTATTATCGTACGCAATGGGCAGAGTATTCGCGTTTTGGACTGGATGTTCCACAGCCAACTCCTCATAAAGGACGATGGGGAGTCGACAGGAGCTTGCTAAGAGAGTGAGCTGGAATCGCTCTGGGGATTCTGCCAAAGAGAGTGGTGCTCTGAAGAAGTCTCTGGATGAAGAATGGTTATGATGGTTTTGTACTATTCTTACGGATCATACATTATAGGGAAATGTTGGCATCGGCGAGATTTTTAGATCTTCGCATGCTCAATAGATGCATTAGATTAGATTATTAGACGAGAAACATTAATCCAGATCATCTTTGTACAGTGTGTTTATTATTTGTGATTGAATACTGCTGTACATGTGCAGGATTCATCTAGCCATTATTCGATATCCATCACCATCATGCCATGAATCTCATGGACATTGAATTGAGTATAACCAATCAAGTTCCCTCGTTGGTTGTGATTATTTACTCGTAGCTGGGAAATGGGAAATGGAAAATGGAAATGGAAATGGAAAAGCGAGAAACCAATTTAACTAGGTAGGTAGGTAGGTAGGTAGGTAGGTAGGTAGGTAACTAACTGTTGGGAAGTTGTATGGATTGAAGAGAAAAGATGGGGTTGTGAGGGTGAGGATTGATTAGGTCGTAGATAAAGATGTATTAAGTAGGTATATTTATATCTAGGTATATTGTAGATGGATATATGTGTAGATGAATAGATGAATAGATAAATAGATAACTAGATTAAATAGATAAATAGATAAATAGATAAATAGATAAATAGATAAATAGATAATAGATAAATAGATAAATAGATAAATAGATATAAATAGATAAATAGATAAATAGATAAATAGATAAATAGATAAATAGATAAATAGATAAATAGATAAATAGATAAATAGATAAATAGCATTCAATCCAATCCATTCACTCCAATCCACCATCTTCGAAATCTCAACCCACCTCTTTAATACAAACCTTCTGATACACGAAGTATATGGATATTCGTATGCATATGTGAAAAAGAGACGGACAATCCATATAAATCCGAAATGTAAATGTGGAATGTGCGAGATGCAGTGCATACAGGATCGATAATTGTGATGGTGGATACCTAACTTGGAAAAATATGGGGAGGGCGTGGCGCGGCGCGGCTTGCATGTAATGCTGTCTGCGCGTGTTTTGTACGATGGATCACGGATGGAGTACCACGTGAGTACTTAGGTACTGTACACGTTTTGGGTGGGTGAGATGTGGATTGAATAGATTGCGTGTTTAGATGCAGAGATTTTTATTTTTATTTTCATTTTTGGTCTGATTTCGTGATTTCATTGATTTCATTGGTTTGTTTCATGGGGACTCGGGAGGAGGTTATGGGATTGTTATGGGATTGTTATGTATGGGGTGGGTTAGTTAGAGGTTAGTAGGTAGGCGCAGGTTTTGACTACTGTAGGTGGCTCGGGTGGGTAGATACTGTACTAGGTAGGTAGGTAGGTATCTGGGATTGCGCATGCGTATGTGAGCTAAGGGGTGGATGAGCATGTACGGTTTGTTCGGTTGTGTGTGTGTTTGTTACTATGTATAACGATGGGCTTAATACGAACGGATGGATGGATCATGGATTGCTTTGGCGATTCTGGAGGGCTAGCGAGGTGTTGGAGAAAACGAAAACTCGTATTGGATTGCATTTGGATGGACTCTGTCTGCTACTGTGAGGTGGTGATATGTTATGTTGGATGATGTTTTGGGATGAATGGAATGGTGAGGGGCGAGGATGTTTATTCGATGTGTGTTGAATTAGATGTGAATATGCATAGGATTTATTAAATGTAGGTAGGTAAAGGTATATCTGTATCTCATGATTTCTTATGGTTGGAAGAGGTTTGATAGATAGATTGAATGGGTAGGTAGTAGGTAATATACAGTGTCGCGAGGAATTAATTCGACACAGTTCAGACGGCAGAGTGTGATCCAAGAAGAGAAGAGAGGAAGAATGATATGACAGGACATGATCATATACTTTTCCTCCCATCCTTGCTTCGCGTTGCTGGACACACGGGTGCTCCGTTCTCCGTATATCATTTATTTGTGGCTCTCGGCGTCCTCGAGTTCATGCAGGGAATGCTGAGTAGAATTGATGTGATTCATCCAATCAAAATTGATTAATGCAGATGAAACATACGTAACCGATTAAAGGGGCACTCACTTACTTGGTGTAGGTAGGTAGGTAGGTAGTGTAGGGAGGACGTGACTTGGTAGGAAGATGATGATAATCCATCGTCTCATCTGTTCCGAAATCAAGTCCACTGATTATTACGGAGGAGATCAAACCTTGGAACCCCTCCTCGCTTCATATCAAGAGAGGATCGACTTTTAGGTTTTGGGATAGATGGATAGATGGATACATTGATACATCCAACCTCCTGTGTAAAATTACTTTAAGTCGTGGGTTCTCTAGTCGGGGGTTTCAAGGGAGAATGTTAGTGATGATGACATCAATTTGGATGTTCATAGTCATAGGGATATTCATCGGGATAGGGCATCAGCACGATACCTAAGTTTTCTTTTCTTTTTGTTGATTAACATGTATAACATGTGTGAGATTAGATGGTAGGTCTGTATTGTAGTTCTTAGATACCTAGGTAGCTATGATACATGGGGTTGGAGATTATTCAGATTCAGATTCACTTGATATGAATGATCGATTCTGTCTATACCTACCTAGGTATACCTGGGTATGACCTACTTAAGTTAGATAATCCTGTCATACCTGTCATAGCATAGTCTGGAATTTCAATACAGACATGAACTGTAACATCATTAGCGCCATAGATACGGAGTCAAAGTATGAGTATCATCTCATATCTAATTCAATCTTTCCATTC